TCTTTGGTTTAATCATTGGCTCGCTCCTATTGATTTTACGGTAAGGCTTTACTTTTACGGACAAAGGCGTGAACACTAAAACATATGATTTTTTGGTTAGGTAAGTTAGATCAAGGGGCTGTTGGTTGGTCGGTCAGGTTAGGTTAGGTTCGGTTCGGTTCGGTTAGGTTAGGTTAGGTTTGGTAAGGTTGGGGTGGGCTTAGGTCGGTCTGGGGCCTTAATTAGCTTCATTTAATTCAATTGTTCATAAAGAGCGCTTTTAAAAGACGTATACCATTGGATGATTTTTAAAGTTCACGCCTTTGTCCGTAAAAGTAAAGCCTTACCGATTTTACTTGCTTTCTTACTTTGATCCCTTTCAAGTTGACTCAATTTTTTTACATTACATGATCATAATGATCATATTAAGATTATTACGATTATGATGTTGATGATGATGATGATGATGATATTAAGAGATACTTGGTTCCATTCAATTGTTGTTCAGGTCAATTCTCACGTCTACCAGCCAATTAAGCAGCACTTCTACTTTACAATTAACATCCCGCAAGATACAGTAATGTACAAGTTCATGTTCAACTTAAAACCTGATCATGAAATGACAATGGTTAAATCCATCAATTAACTAGCTGATTAACACAGTAGTTGGCAAACCTTTCCAATACATTATCAACTGTAAACATGACAACCTTTCACTGAAATCATCAGCTAATAAGCAAATCAGGTAAATTCATCGTGATTCACCAACAGTTCAAACATTGCTTATTACTTGTAAATTGTAGACTATCAATTGGATTAGTAGATGTTATAGCACTTTATTGAAAGTATGTGTGATTAATAAACGAGGCAAAAAGCCGAGTGTCTTAATCACACATAGTTGAGATAAAGTGGTATAACTTGTTTATACAAGTTAGGACTGTATGCGACTCATATACTGCACTCTTTTCTATGGCACAGTGCAGTATAAGTTGTATAATTTATTAAACAGCTGTTGATTCATGTTCATTATTATCAAACCCTGTATAATCATTTGTTAACCCTTGACATTGACAGGTTCTGCAATTGTTAACGTTAAATTTCAAGTTAACATTGACTGTTAAAGTGACCATTTGATATAAATTGAGTCAACTTTGTCTGTTTATTTAATTCAATGAACCATCTACCGGGTGTGGCAAAAGTCACGTACAGCATATTTTGCGCTTTTTCTCAGTAACTGTAATAGTGATCGCCATCAAATTTTTTAGGTATTTTTCTCGAGCCGTCGGTTGAGTTTTGTGGTAGTTTCTAGTTAAAAATTCGAATTTTGAAAAATAGCGTTACTTAGCGGCAAGATCGCACATTATTTATAAAACTATATTATCTCATCAAAGAAGACATCAAAGCCCCTAAACGGAACTGACCAAGTGCCACGAAGGGTCAAAACACCCTTGCAACGAAGCCATAAAGGCGTAGGAAGAAAAACTTCGATTCTCGAATTTTTCATTTTGAGACAATTTTTTGCGTTTTTCGTGTCAGAACGATCGCTAGTAAAGGTTGGCACTTTGAGCATATAGTCAAATGACAACCGAAGAAGCGCTGATTACAATGAAAAAAAACCATTTTGAAATATCTCTATCGGTGCAAAAGTTATTCACGAAAATATGCTGTACCTGACTTATGCCACACCCGGTACATTTCAATTTGAATGCAACTGTTTGTTGTTCACTTTGGTTTTTAGCTTTGAAGCCAACGTTCACTAACCATTTGGTTAATTTAATTTTCAATTCATTACCTATTCGTCTGACTCTGGTTAATCTCATCTTATTTTAATTAATTAGTCCAATTTGTTTTGACATTAGATCGCCATTGACATTAATTTGATTAACATGTGAATCAATTGTTAAACAGACGAAGAATCATTTGTCAGTTGTTTCTTTCATTCCGAAGTGTCTCTTTCAGGGTTGAGTGCTAGGTTCAGTTTTAACCTTTAGTCTATTGTTCACCCTTTTGTTGCTATAGATAGAAGTGTTCAATTGATATTGTTTGATATAAATTGATCAGACTTGGGTTAACCATTAATAATTGTGATATGCGGAAATCTTTGCTTGGTTCAATTTCATGATTTTCACTGATCAACAGTTGACAGTGAAAATGTTGCAAAAATTAGATTTTCTTTATACACAATAGCGGTTTCGTTAGATACATCTTGATGTAATTTGTTCATCATCTCAATCAAATGTCAGTTTTGGTTATCAAATAATGGTTAATCATCATTTAAAGTCAAAAATGAAGCTCTTTATACGGTGAAAAGTCTAATGGTACAAAGATAATGGTAATGCAAAGAGGTTTGAATAATTGATTCTCAACTTACACAGTTAGTCATAAGATAGGCTTGAAAAGTCTCAAGTTTAAAAATCGCGTTTCTTTCACGCTCAAAAACTGTTTTAAACAATTTAAAAATGGCTTTTATAACTGTTCAGCATAAAAACATTGTTAATTCTGAGTGAATTTGATAAGTTGGGTCAGAATTGAGAACTGGTTTTAGGCTTATTTTCAATTTTTATGTATGAATGTTGATTACTTTAGATGAAAATGATGATGAGTATTAGTATTGGTACAAAAGGATTGTTTTAGTCAACAAAGCTTTTTATACTAATTGCTGCTGCTCTAATTTAACCTTACAATTTACAAAAGAACAATTTTCCATCAAAGATTTCATTCTATTGACTCGGTTATTTCTTTGTTAGCTATTGTTGGTGAGCTAAATTTTTCCTGTGGAAGGTCAATCGAGTTGAAGATAAGCTTAATCTGTTCCATTGCAATCTCTGGATTAGATGGAACGTAAACAAGTCCAGTTGATCCAGTTTCCAGAGCAATTGTTTTAGCTGCTTGATGGCTTTTCTTAATACAATCGGGACCAAGATGTTGTATTGCGATAACTGGACCACGGCCAACAATGGAATTATATGAATCGGTTTTAAATATTTGCATGGCCTCAACCTCCTTCATCATAAACTCTTTCGTTGCAACCAAGGAACACTGAAATTGAGTAAGTAAATCAAAATACTTATATTAAACTAAGCGATAACTTGCCATTAACAACGACAATTAAACTCACAGATTTTTCAGCCATTTCCCGAATATAGGCTTTGGCTCTTTTCTCGCGATTGCCATCAGGGAAAAATATCACCAAACCAGTTTCAATCGATTGATCAGTTCGAACTCCCAAAGTTCGTGGAACCACACTCAAACTGTATCCAACGAGATTTCAGGTTCCTTAATATTAAGTAAACATTCAAAAACTTCTTCAGGCTGAATATCCTGTCAAAGAAAGGAGAAAAATGATGAATTACAATATAATCAGACGAGACCAAAATATTGTATACTTACTGGATCAAGAAGAGACCAATTTTGGGTTCCTTCAGCTCCACCAAAATCATAAACTTGACTCCATGAATTGTTGAAAACTGTTAAACCCGCTAATTTAAATTGATCTGCAAAAGTATTATTGAAATGTCCAAAAAATTAATTAATACACAAAAATTAAGCCATCAATAAAAGCTCAGATTTAAGTTGATCTCAAAGAATAACTCTTTGGTTGATCTTGTATTATTTTGATCGCCATCTATTGTTAGCGCATTAAATGATGGATGAAAGTCTTTCATTGAAGTGACTAGAATTCAAAGTTTAGACTTGAAAGGTTATTCAATGAAGACAACTGACTCATTAAAGGCTTTACTAATGAAAATGATGGAAATGATCAAAATTAGCTTTTAAATTAATAATAAATTACCTGAAAGTTGTGAATAAAAGAATGAATAACAGGCAACTTGAATGTTTTCACAGGCTTCAATGGTTGGCTTAGTAAGACAATGTAAGAATAGGTAGAGAGATTTACAATCACGAGCACGAAATTGTTGACTGGCACAAATTATTCGACAATTTGAACAATTTCGAAGGAATATGCTGAAAATAGAAAAAAAACGACGTTATAAATTTTCATTAGATTGCAAATTAAACTGGTATCATCTGATGAAATTTTCAAACTCAATCTAATCTAGTTTACTGGGTTTACTTAAGGTGATAGTAAATACACTTGATAATAGGTAGTGAGGAAAATAATAAAAAGTGAAACAAGTAATAAGAGAAGAGAAGAAGAAAAAATAAGAATTAAACTAATAATAAGAGTAACAACTATAAGATTATGAACATTTAACCAGAATTTTCAGCTTTCTTTGAGGTTTTTAGATTACTTTACGCCTCTTGATATGTTCACGATTGTTAATAACCTTTTTCCCTCCTGTTTTACTCTGTTATTTACTTCTTTAATTTCATCTTGGCTTTATTTTTGGTTGTTGCTGTGTTGTTTCTGATGAGCTTGGCTGATATTAATAATGAAAATGATAAAAGTAATAATAAACTGGTTCTCTCTTCTTTGTCGTGATAATCTTTATCTTGATAATAGTGAATCTGGTCGAATGTTCAAATATCACTTTATCAGTGGGTCAACTTGGATTAATCCTCAAATATTATTTGATCAAGTTACATCAATTTCAACATCAATCTCCTCTATTTATACTTGAATTTAATGGATTTTTCCGAGTAATCTTTTCCCATCGAATGGTTGGAAGTTGATTGAGATGGAATCAATTTTAAAATTGACAGAGCCTTACAGTCAAAATATGCTGAAAAATGGAAAAGAGAAACGACTGGGTTTTTAGAAAAGAAGGCAAATGTTTAATATTGCAAACAAATGGGTTGAATAGTAAAATGCGGTTGGGTGACTAATTTGATGTGAATTAAGAATAGATTAAACCACTGCCACGAGAAGTTATGAGAATTAAACACGAGGGCGGAGCCCGAGGGTTTTATCTCATAACTTCGAGTGATAGTGGTTTAAAATATTTACACTACGAAAGTAAAAGATAGCCAACACAAAATTGAAGCAAAAAATGAAAAAATCACAAAAATGAACTAAACTAATTTCAGATTTTTTTTCATTTTTTGACCAGTAAATTTGCTCTTTCTTATTAAATTAAATTACTAATTAATTAGTCGTTAAATATGAATTTCCATATGATTCGTAAAGTGAAAAATGATGTTGATTCAGCTAGACTAAGCTGTGACCCTAAGCTTGTTGAGAGTGATTCAATTTAATTCAATTTTTAAAATTGATTTTCTTATTATCTTTGTTTTACCAATAATTTAATCTATGATTTGATAAGAAACTGTGCCGGTAACCAGTGCAGGTAACCAGTGCAGTGTATAAGAAATAACCATTAAGGTAACCTAGTGGTTACCCTGCACTGAGTGGTGTAAATCTCTTTACTTCTAATTGATCATTCTAGGTGAAAGTAGAGTTGATAATCAAAAGTAAAGATAATTTTAATACAATAAGTCAGATGAAGTTGACCAGATACTGGTTGAAACACCTAAAACGTGATGAGTGACTTAGGTTGGGTTTGGGTTTGTTTAAAAAAGGGTAACATAAAAACAATTAAAGAGTAACATTAAAACATCTATGTAGATTAAGAGTAGGAACCATCCAAACGAGCGTGCATGGAGTTTATTCACTGTTGAAAGAAAATTCAGATTCCGTATCGTCTGTGATCAATGAGCATTCCATAATACTTGTTATTGAATCGTGTGTTTCAGTCGATTGAGTTGGACTTATTTCTTCATCACTTATTGGTTTTTGACTTTTAATATAATTATTAGGATAATCTATATCAAATAAAAGTCCAGGATTGAGATCGCGAGCTCTTTTCAAATAATTAGAGACTGTATTCTTTGAGACTGTAACTCCAAACATGTAGTAAATAAACTTTTGTATGTCCATAAGGGTTCTAGGCGAAGAGTTGTAGTAACAAAATACCTTCGAAAACTGGTCTTTGGTCAACTTGGGTTTGGATCCTTTAGTTTTAATAACTAACGAAAGGCCAGAATGTTCATAGTTTTTGATTATTCGATTGATTGTTGACCTTTTCAAGCCATACTTGGAACAAAGCTCATCCATTGTATGCCCATTATTATGAGACTCAATGATTGAGTAATGGTCCGGCTTTGATGAACTCGTTCGTAATTTACCTTTTGTCATGACGTTAGATAATGATGATACTGATTAAACACAAAAAATAATCAAAAAGCACAATTGGTGGGTTAACAAAAATCTAGAAATTTTGGAGTAAAAGATGAAACTAAATAAAACAAAAGGTAAAAATATGACTGATAGATGACAACCTTAAAGGCGCGCTGTTCTCAAAGAGTAAGACAACTCTCTGGTTATTCCATTGTCTTAACAACTGTTGAATAAGGTTACCAGTTACCAGTACCATCTCAACAGTTGGATTAACCAATCAAAATGGTAACCAAAAGGTTTTCTGGTTCAACCGTTTGCAAAGATTATTTGAAAAATCAAATCAATTAAGCAAACTTTACAACTCTTCAAATGAACTATGACCAAATTATCCAAACGGTTTTATAATGTCAAATGGTTACTAATGGTTTACATTAAAAATTGCTTTTACAATAAGAAACTGCTTACTCTAAATTTCTTTGCGATTCCACTAAATCCACTGATCCACTGTTTTTTTTCAATCACCAAGATTTTATTAATTTAACATTTTGGTAAACTCAATTTTCTTGAAGCTTGGCTATGTTAATTTGTAAGCTTTCCTAACAAACTAATACAAATCCTGATAGTTATTTTGATTAATTAAAAATGTTTTGCTCATTGAGTAGCCCTTGCTGTGTAAATAAGCTATTTCACAGGACATTATCTGGTACTTTACTGTAATTGTTTGGTTAATGAACTTGATATTTTAGTCAAATATTTTATGGCTACCTCGAACCTTTGATGGTATTTTCACCAAATATTCAACTCGACTCAATTCAATGTGAAATGAAATTTGATTTTCAAATGAAAACAGTGTCTAAAATGTTGCTAAATGATTATTAGTATTGTGTTGTTGAAATTTGCTATTCAAATTGAGGTAAGCAAATAATAGTAATGTACAAAATATTCATAAGCTTTTACCAAATGCAAACAATCTCTTCACAATACAAACTGAGAAATTTTCTTGTAAAAATGGGCTAAAATTTAAAGACTGACATCAAACTAAGCTTCCAAAAATAGTCAAATGAATCAAAATTGAAGATTCCTATGTAAATGGAAAAGGTTGAAGGGTAAAAAAGCACAGAAAGCACAGAAACATGTTCGGTGGAAACATTTATAACTGCACCAAATCCCATTGCTCTCACTGTACCTAATAATACCAATGTTTATTTAAATGTAGGCAAAATGTATGATCAAAACCGTTCAACAACAAAGGGTAAAGCTTATGATAATCTGGACTGAATTTATTTCTCATTATTTCATTACTCCTGTGGGATGAAAAGGTCTTATTAAGAGGAACCAGTTAACGAAACAATCAAACAACAGGTCGTCATTGGCTTACTTTAATCAACAATCTTTAATCATCATCTTTACCAGAATTAACAGAGTTAACTCAACCTTTCTCAAGCTTTTTATAGCTAAAATGAATGCTCCAACCGAAAGGGAACATTGGATCGATATTTATTGAACTTGTCTCATCAAAACCACCATCAACATGCTTTATTTTTGCTTGCAAGATAACAAATCAATAACAAACCTTTCTTTTCATTCAATGCTTTTCATCAGTTAAAATGAATCTTTATTAGGATCAAATCTTAATCATCAAATTAATAACCTTTGCAGTGATCAATATTAATTTTGTGTGTTCCAGTTTAACGCAGCAAACATAAGATTCAAAAATAATACACAAAATGAATACAAAAAGTATTGAATTGAACAACAAATGTCATTATTCATCATTTTGTCATCAATAAAAGCTAAAAATTGATATTTTTAGACCTTGTCTAATGAACCATTAGATAATATAATCAATGCTTTTGATTCCGTTCAACAGTTTTTCTAGAAATGTCAGTTAAATGATTAAGCTTGCCATAATAAACATTAACCCTTGAGTCAACCAAATTGTTTCATTTGCAGTCAAGAAACGTTGAAAGTCTGCTTCATCATTAAATTAACTAATTACAGGATTGCCTTAAGTTTTTCACTTTTGGAGTGGTGACATCTAGGTGAACTACAAGGGAAGACAATTAAATTTTGTAGTTTAAACAATTAGTCCGGTCCAGTGATTCCCCTTTAGCCTTTTTACCCTTTTCCCTTCAGGGTAAGTCATTAAAGTGGACTAATTGTCTAAACCGTAAAATTTAATTAAATAGATGTCAGCACACCAAAAGTCAAAAACTAAAGACACTACCAAAGGGCAATAGCAAGTTTATTAATCAGTAATGGGGCGCTGACAAAGTGAGTCAAGATGGCTGAGTGGCTCATATGTCCACGCTCGGTAGCCATACGATGCTTGGCCAGAATTACATTTTAAAATTACAAATAAGATTAAACTACATAAAAATAAAGGGATGATCGCCCTAGGTTTGACCAAAGCCAAGGCAAGCATTCTGAGACAAACTATCCTCATCATTTAAAGCTAGTGCGACCAAATTCAGAATATTTTGTCAATAAGTCAACGATATTTATCCTCATTTTATCCATCTTATCTTGTTACATCTTGTATCACCACAAGGGTGAACATTTGGATATCTTCAAGACGCGTGGAGAGTTGTATTTCATGTACCTTATTTTTACAAATTAATGAAAAAACGTTGATAAAAGGACGTTTTTGGAGCTATCTAAGGAAATGTTTCGAAGTCCAGAACACATCAAATGCTCTATCCTGGTTGATTAAGCATATCACTTTTGTGCGCTTAGTTGCAAGTTTTCGATCTGAACCCCATTGTTTCCTATGAAAGTCTTCCCTGACTTTGAACGCTGATATCTCAACAACCATTTGGAAAATGTTCCACATGAGAGCATTAGAAATAACATTTTTAGGAGTTTGGCCTTTAATCTTTAATATTGC